ATCTGTTTTGAGAATATCACGTTTTTCTACATCAAACTCTTCGTTTATGGCTTGTAAAAATTGATACAAACGATTTTGTTGTTGAATTTGTGTAAAAATCGTCATATCCTCCGGGCATTTCATCGGGTTGGGTCGCCTCCTGTCGATTTCCTTCCACACAGCTTGCAATTGGTTGTAGACCTTCTCTAGTGTCTGGTCTCCTTGTTTGATGCTGCTAGCTTTCACCATCAAGTTGTATACCTGCAAGGGATCTTTCCCGGAGCCGTAAGTGGCTTCAATTCCCTTCCACAGATCCCAAGCAGTTGGATAATCGATATATTGATTGACAATATCTGATTCTATGTTTTCTAGAATCCATGTTATAACCGTTGAATCTGCTTGTCTCCATTTAATAAATTTCAGGTCATCTGATTTGAGATGTGTGGCAGTCATGTGCTTGAGCCGCCCTCTCCCATCCAACGCCAGACTCATTTTGCGCGCCCAAATGGCGTAGTTCCTATCGTTGAGCTTTTCCGCCATATTTAATGCCTGATTGGAAGAGCTCTCGATAGGTTCGGCCTTGGGTGCCAAATTCTGAAAATTTTGAAGAATTTCCAGAATTTGTGCAAGATTGATCGGCTGATTTTTCGGGTCAGATTCCTCTGTGTTTATGGAACTGCCCGTTTGAGGAGTTTTATCGGACATTTTTTATGGTATATGATGAATGATGCGTTTCATTCAATTGTTTGATCGAATGATGGCTTTGATACCATATTAGAAATATTAGAATGAATTCACAGCATAATTTTCATCTTATTAAATTCATCATCAAAATGATGAGTATAAATATTACAAAGTAAATAATCAAGACAATCAAGGAAGGTAAGTGGAAGATAATCAAATATCTTTGATTGGTAATATGATTCCAATCAAGGATATTATCCTAGTCATCAATAATATTCCTTTGTTTGACACTATTCATTTGTTTGACATTTCTAACACTAAGAGCAAAGATTTATTGGGCATATTATTGGAATCCAAATGACACAGCATCCGAGTCTTCTATCTCTCGTAGCAATCCCACTTCTTGATCATACATCTTATAGATGCAATCTTCGGGATTCTCTTTCCGGATTAAGTTGTGAATGGTGCAAAGAAGTGGACTTCTACCCCATGATGATAGAGTGATGCTTGCATTGTCTTAATGTCTACATTTAAAATGAAGACTTTCTCACATTTTTATGGGTTTTCATGTGGATATTTTTTATTTTGCAAAAAGGTCCACTTCTCTTATGCTACAAATGCACTAAGGTCCATAAAATAAGCATGAACCTTAGGTCCATGGAAGAATTTATGTTTGTT